CTGCTCTTGTTGCCGAATACCGGCGATTATTTTCCGATAGACAAATTCCGAAGCGGGAAGTGTTTATTAGAGATACATTCAGCGTTTATTCAATACCGCTGGCATACTACACGAATATTGTACAGATGCTATTGTTGAGGATCGGACGCGTGTTTACGAAAAATTTTTTTCTTGTTTTGGGTCAAAGAATCCGCTTAAACTTTTCGCGGTGAATACATGATAGTTGTTTATAAACGAAAAAAGAGATAACTATTAATCATTTGCGATGTAAATTTGAATTTACACGATTATACTGTACTCTTGAAACGTAGCAATAATTTTCTATGAGATTTTAGCTTCGAAATAAAAGCGAAGAAAATCAGAAATTAATGTCAGAGGGTCAAACGTCTTACTTCAGCTACCCTATTGATGTTTGTGGAATGTCTGGCATTCGCTGATTGAAATCGAAAAGGAAAAGGGCTTTCCACGGGTTGCGCATGGTTTGATAAATGTTGTCCGTCTCTCGCGATATGCCGGATAATATCTGTAAGGATCTGACGGAGAACACAGAGGATAGGAAGCCCCCGGCCCTTTTTGCCGGCGACGGCATCGTTTGTAATTCGAGTCCATCGCCGTGCGATTCGCCCTTCGCGCGAAGGAACCGAAGTTTCGACGCTTGTATCACGTCAACGGGGAATCTCTCGGAGTAATTTATGATCTCGCCGCATTTTCGAATTAAGTCTCCCATTTTTTCCTCTTTGCCCCTACGTTTGTTTGAATTAGATCGCGTTCCCGCAAAATTGACGCACATCGTCGAATTCCAAGTTCTTTCTCTTACTCATAATTGAATAATTTAACGAGGTTCAGACTTCGATATCGTTTGCAGTTTGCACGATTATTGACACAACACCTCAGAAAACACTGTATTGCAATTGTAATGGGAAGAAGCCCTTTTAAGATCGCATTGCGTCTGCAACGAGGACACTCGTTACGAGAGTCGCGCAACCCCTTTAGCCTCGAATGTCACGGTCCTAAGGGTGGAATTTTCACTCGGAGAACTCGCGTACTCTGGATCATGTTACGACCCTCCTCGCAGATCCAAGTCGTTTATTATTTCGACTTGGTCGAAATATCTACGAGGAAACGACCCTCAAGATACATGCGCGCAGCGAAAACGCTTTGCCTTCCTACGAAATTAATTTTATATACGGAATATTTACAAACGAAATCTCACATCAAGTACTAGTTAGTTGGTGTATTTTTTTAACCCAGCTAACTATTTAATTCTGATACTATGAATTATTTCAACCTCCTGAGAATTTATCGTATGCAAAGTAGGCTGAAATTTTTTGACGGTGATTAAAATTTTCATTTCAATCAACGTCCCTAAAATATTTTCGTCTCGTTTGCCTGGTAGTTTTGAATGTAATAGTGTGTCGATCGGTATTACGACGTTCGGGCTTCCCGTTACTCGATAACGGGATAAACGCGCGAATAATTGGGGATTCGCGATTTAGGATAAAAAAAAAATGTTTACACGCCGCGACATGCGACGACGCGTCGTGATAAAAATTCATTGGCGTATGTGAATGCTGGAACGCCGATGGCACGTGCATCGTTTATTAAAAAAGCTGTTGGACGGTCGCCCCGGATCGAAGAGCGCGGGGACATACCTTCGCCATTTTACAGAGGCCCTTTGTCGTGCCGAAATTACAATTGCTATCGTCATTATCGGATGCGTTATGCGCACGATGCGTTTGGTGGACGTGGAAATCCCTCCCCATTGTTTGTCGCGCGCGTCCCGTTTTGATCGAAAACGTCAAAGCGGCCGAAAAAACATACGTCTCCCCGGAATTCCGATCGGAAAAATATGACCAAGAGGAGGGATCCCAGGGGGTGGAGGAGAGGGAATGATAA